ACTTCTCCTTCGCCAGTGAGACACGAAGACTTGCGGGAAGGACATTGCGGAAGGAAGGAAGGAAGGAAGGAAGGAAGGCCCGAAAGAGGGAGAGCCGAAAGAGAAGAGGAGGGCCTCAGCAAGTCCTTCCCAAAAAGAGGGAGGAACACTTCTCCTTCGCCAGTGAGACACGAAGACTTGGGAAGGACATTGCGGAAGGAAGGAAGGAAGGAAGGAAGGAAGGCCCGAAAGAGAGAGCCGAAGAGAGAGAAGAGGAGGCCTCAGGCAAGTCCTTCCCCAAAAAGAGGAGGAACACTTCTCCTTCGCCAGTGAGACACGAAGACTTGCGGGAAAGGACATTGCGGAAGGAAGGAAGGAAGGAAGGAAGGAAGGCCCAAAGAGGGAGAGCCGAAGAGGGAGAAGAGGAGGCCTCAGGCAAGTCCTTCCCAAAAAGAGGGAAACACTTCTCCTTCGCCAGTGAGACACGAAGACTTGCGGGAAGGACATTGCGGAAGAAGAAGGAAGGAAGGAAGAAGCCCGAAAGAGGGAGAGCCGAAGAGGGAGAAGAGGGCCTCAGGCAAGTCCTTCCCGAAAAAGAGGAGGAACACTCTCCTTCGCCAGTGAGACACGAAGACTTGCGGAAGGACATTGCGGAAGAAGGAAGGAAGAAGGAAGGAAGGCCCGAAAGAGGGGAGAGCCGAAGAGGAGAAGAGGAGGCCTCAGGCAAGTCCTTCCCGAAAAGAGGGAGGAACACTTCTCCTTCGCCAGTGAGACACGAAGACTTGCGGGAAGGACATTGCGGGAAGGAAGGAAGGAAGAAGGAGGAGGCCCGAAGAGAGGGAGAGCCGAAGAGGGAGAAGAGGAGGCCTCAGGCAAGTCCTTCCCGAAAAAGAGGGAGAACACTTCTCCTTCGCCAGTGAGACACGAAGACTTGGAAGGACATTGCGGAAGGAAGGAAGGAAGGAGGAGGAAGGCCCGAAAGAGGGGGAGAGCCGAGAGGGGAGAAGAGGAGGGCCTCAGGCAAGTCCTTCCCGAAAAGAGGGAGGAACACTTCTCCTTCGCCAGTGAGACACGAACTTGCGGGAAAGGACATTGCGGAAGGAAGGAAGGAAGGAAGGAAGGAAGGAAGGCCCGAAAGAGGGGAGAGCCGAAGAGAGAGAAGAGGAGGGCCTCAGGCAAGTCCTTCCCGAAAAGAGGGAGGAACACTTCTCCTTCGCCAGTGAGACACGAAGACTTGCGGGAAGGACATTGCGGAAGGAAGGAAGGAAGGAAGGAAGGAAGGCCCGAAAGAGGGGAGAGCCGAAGAGGGAGAAGAGGAGGGCCTCAGGCAAGTCCTTCCCGAAAAGAGGGAGGAACACTTCTCCTTCGCCAGTGAGACACGAAGACTTGCGGGAAGGACATTGCGGAAGGAAGGAAAGGAAGGAGAAGGCCCGAAAGAGGGGAGAGCCGAAGAGGGAGAAGAGGAGGGCCTCAGGCAAGTCCTTCCCAAAAAGAGGAGGAACACTTCTCCTTCGCCAGTGAGACACGAAGACTTGCGGGAAGGACATTGCGGAAGGAAGGAAGGAAGGAAGGAAGGAAGGCCCGAAAGAGGGGAGAGCCGAAGAGGGAGAAGAGGAGGGCCTCAGGCAAGTCCTTCCCAAAAAGAGGGAGGAACACTTCTCCTTCGCCAGTGAGACACGAAGACTTGCGGGAAGGAATTGCGGAAGGAAGGAAGGAAGGAAGGAGGAAGGCCCGAAAGAGGGGAGAGCCGAAGAGGGAGAAGAGGAGGCCTCAGGCAAGTCCTTCCCAAAAAGAGGGAGGAACACTTCTCCTTCGCCAGTGAGACACGAAGACTTCGGGAAGGACATTGCGGAAGGAAGGAAGGAAGAAGGAAGGAAGGCCCGAAAGAGGGGAGAGCCGAAGAGGAGAAGAGGAGGGCCTCAGGCAAGTCCTTCCCAAAAGAGGGAGGAACACTTCTCCTTCGCCAGTGAGACACGAAGACTTGCGGGGAAGGACATTGCGGAAGGAAGGAAGGAAGGAAGGAAGGAAGGCCCGAAAGAGGGGAGAGCCGAAGAGGAGAAGAGGAGGCCTCAGGCAAGTCCTTCCCAAAAAGAGGAGGAACACTTCTCCTTCGCCAGTGAGACACGAGACTTGCGGGAAGGACATTGCGGAAGGAAGGAAGGAAGGAAGGAAGGAAGGCCCGAAAGAGGGGAGAGCCGAAGAGGGAGAAGAGGAGGAGGGCCTCAGGCAAGTCCTTCCCAAAAAAAGAGGGAGGAACACTTCTCCTTCGCCAGTGAGACACGAAGACTTGCGGGAAGGACATTGCGGAAGAAGGAAGGAAGGAAAGGGAAGGCCCGAAAAGGGGAGAGCCGAAGAGGGAGAAGAGGAGGAGGGCCTCAGGCAAGTCCTTCCAAAAAGAGGGAGGAACACTTCTCCTTCGCCAGTGAGACACGAAGACTTGCGGGAAGGACATTGCGGAAGGAAGGAAGGAAGGAAGGAAGGAAGGCCCGAAAGAGGGGAGAGCCGAAGAGGGAGAAGAGGAGGGCCTCAGGCAAGTCCTTCCCAAAAGAGGGAGGAACACTTCTCCTTCGCCAGTGAGACACGAAGATTGCGGGAAGGACATTGCGGAAGGAAGGAAGGAAGGAAGGAAGGCCCGAAAGAGGGGAGAGCCGAAGAGGGAGAGGAGGAGGGCCTCAGGCAAGTCCTTCCCAAAAAGAGGGAGGAACACTTCTCCTTCGCCAGTGAGACACGAAGACTTGCGGGAAGGACATTGCGAGCGGCGGCCTCTTCTGAAGCCGGGTCGAGCGAGTGCGCGCCGTCGTCAGCGCAAAAAGCTGGGAAAGTTCTTCTTTTTCTCTCTCTCTCTCTCTTATTTCTTGATTTTTTGTTCTTTTGTTTTATCGTTTTTCCTTTTTTTTTTTTTGGTTAATTTTTGTTTTCCTGTTTTATATGTTCTTTCTCTTTTTTATTATTATTTTTTAAATTGTTTTTCATTTTTTTCTTTTTTGGTTTCCTTTTGGTTATTTTTCTTTTCCTGTTTATATATTCTTTCTTTATTTATCATTAATCTTTATTGTTTTTCTTTTTTTTCTTTTTGGGTTTTGGGTTATTTTTCTTTTTCTTTTTATATCTTTCTCTTTTTTTATTTTCATTTTTTTATTGTTTTTCTTTTTTTTCTTTTTTGTTTCCTTTTGATTATTTTTCTTTTCCTTTTTATATCTTCTTTCTCTTTTTTTATTATTATTTTTTAAAGATTTCTTATCGGTCGTATACTCTTCCTTCCTATTTCCTTTCTTTTGTGTTTCATTTCCATTTTTTTCTTTGTTCCTTTATATTCTGAGTCTTTCTTTGTTTTTTCTTTTCCTTCTTTCCTTTTTTCTTTTTCTTTTCTTGATTTTTAAGATCGAACTTTATTATTTTCTTGTTTGTGTATATGCGTAATTTTTTTTTCTTTATCGAATTATCAACTATTCGTTTATCTTAATTTCATTCGTATTTGCTTATTTGTTCTTTATATTCTATACTGTCTTTTTCTGTATTTATTTTCTGTTTTCTTCTGTTCATCATCTTTATACCTCCTCCTCTTATTCCTTCTTTCCCTCCTTCTCTTACTGTTCTTGCTCCACATTTTTTTTGTTCTCATTTCCTCCTCTCCTCTAGAACAAATCCGTCTGGGTCTTGCTAATCTTCTTCGCTTTCTTATCCGCACTTCCTGTGCTTCCTCTTCCAATTCTTGTTATTGGTTCTAGTCCTCCTCCTATTCTTTTTTTTTCTCTCTCTCTTTCTCTCTCTCTCTCTCTCTCTCTCTCTCTCTCTCTCCCTCCCTCCTCCCTCCTCCCCTCTCCGTCTCTCTCATCTCTCTCTCTCTCTCTCTCTCCTCTCTCTCTCTCTCTCTCTCCTCTCTCTCTCTCTCTCTCTCTCTCTCTTTTTTTCTTCTCTCTCTCTCTCTCGGTTTTTCTCTTGCTTTTCGACTTTCTCTTCCTCTTCCTTCACCCTTTCCTCTTCCTTTCCTCCTCCTCCCTTCTCTACACCTCCTGCCTTCCTTTTCCTATCACCTCTGCCTCCTTCTTCTTCTCTTCCTCCTCCTCTTCCTCTTTTTCTTCTACGTCTTTTCCTTCCTTTTCTTATTCTTTTTCCATCTCCTTCGCCTCCAATTCCTTTTTTTTCTCATTATATGTTTATCATCATTATCCTCCTAGTCCTCGTGCTTCTTCCTCTTCCACTTCTTATTCTCTTTTTCTTCGTTTTCCTTCTTTTCCCTTTCCTCCTCGTCATCACATCCTCCTCCTCCTTCTCCTCTTCCTCGTTTCTTCTTCTTCTCCCCCTCTCCTTCTTCTCCTCTTCCTCCTCCATTCCCCTCCTTCCTCCTTCGTCTCCTCCCCTTCTTCTTCTCCTCTTCTCCTCCTCCTTCTCCTTCTTCTCCTCCTCCTCCTTCTTCTCCTGTTCGCCTTCCTCCTTCTCCTCTTCCTCCTCCTTTCCTCCTTCCCCCATCCTCCATCCTCCTAGTTATTCATTATCTCCTCCTCCAAACCTTCCTCTCCTTATTCCTTCTCCTCTCACTCCTTCCTCTCTCTTCTCCTCCTCTTCCTCCTCCCATCCTCCTTCCTTCTCGTCATTTATATTCCTCTTCCCCCATCCTCCTCCTCCCTCCCCCTCCTACTTCCTCCCCTCCTCTCCTCCCTCCTTCATCCTATTTCTCCATTTCTCAAGTGCCAAGATTTTCTTTGTGGTGCCGTAAAAAATCCCCTTAAATTGTTCATCGCCAATGATCGAAATTGAACACAAGAGAATCACAGACAATAAAAGAATAGAATAGAAAGAAAGAAAGAAAGAAAGGAAAATAGCTAGATAGAGAGGGACACGATGAAGGGATGATTAAAAAAGGGAAGAAAAAGAAGTAAAGGAAAGTGGATAAAGAGGGAGAGGGAGAGAGGAAACAAAGGAGAAAGAAGAGGTGAAGAAGAGAGAGAGAAGAGAAAAAAATGAGAAGGATGGAAGAAGGAGAGAGAAAGAGTAAGATAATAAGGAAGAAGAAGGAAAGAGAGAAGAAGCAGAAGAAGAGAGAAAGATATAAATGGATAAAGGGGAGAAGAAGAGAAAAAAAGATG